GCAGGCGTGAATGCTGCGCACGCGTCTCCTGTGCTGCAGGCGTGAATGCTGCGCACGCGTCTCCTGTGCAGCAGATGTGTCCGCTGCCACCCCCCTGGCTTCACACCCTGCTTTCTGTCTGGTTGCAGATTTGCACACATAAATAATTCCTCAGGAAGAGTTTGCACTTGCATCACCTCGCAATATTTTGTACTGACCAAAAAAGGGATTTGAAAGTCTGTCAGCACAAAAGGATTACTTCAGAATGTGGTCTGTACACGTACTAGCAAAGATAACGGTGATCTAGCAAACAGAAGTGGTTTCTGCAACTGTAATGTGAGCAGGAGCACTTGTATCATAGTATTTAAATAACGCTGTTTAATTGACCAGTGTACCTGTCCAGATTTTGTCATATTATTGAGGCTGGCTGTATTTTCTTCTATGTTTGTTTTCTGTTGAACAGCAGCTAATTATTTCTGTGATTATTATGCAAGCATTACTGCCTTTGAGCTAAAATTCAGTTTTTTAATAAGCAGCTGTTATTAAAATAACTGATCACTGTTTTATGAGTACACACTAATCTGAGATATTAAAAACTTTACAACTAAAAAAGCAAAACAGAGAAAACCTGTATTAGCTCTCTGGCCACTGTTTGGATGTTTTGAGTTGGTTTTTCTATGGTGTCTCATTAAGCTTCTTAGCTTGGAGTCTTACGTTTACTTAGTCCAAGTCTGGGCCTCTTAAGGGGACTTTAAAATTTAAGGTCAGAATGTGAATCCCAATACTGACACCTGTTGGAGTGTATAGGACCTTTGGGGCTATGATGACTGTTTTTAATAAGAGCACATCAGATGCAGGTCACTTTTATCAGAAGGAAATGGAAGGCACAGAGTTCATGGAGAGAAGGCCCTCCTGTTACTTTCATTACCTGTTGAAATTTGCCCCAGCTTCTGGCCACCAGAATAGACGAAAGAAGCCCTATGCCTTCACAAGGGAAGTGATTCCTATTCTGTCCCTACTGTTTCTTAACTGAGTCACTGACATGCCCCCTTCCACTGCCTGAGACCTGATTTTGAGTTTGAACCTCTTCCCAGAGCCAAGTGGCACAGTCAGTACATATTTCTCCTTGTCGATGGAGCAGCTGCGGGAGAATGAAAGTAAGTGCTGGTCAGAGGTACATTTTCCTAGAACCCTCCTGTGTGCTGCACCATGCTGGCTGGAAATTAGCTTGGACTGTCTTGTTTAGAAAAATGTTAATGGCTTACAATTCTGGGAAATTTATAATGTAGCTTTGGGGTTAAGAATTCTGTGGATTGAAAAAAAATAAATATTTTGTATTGATTGTCACATGCCATGTCAATGTTGTGACTGTACTAACTGCCATAAGACTGTGAATATTCTCTTAGGAGGGTGTATTTTGTTAAACAGATGGCAACTTGATTGCTCTCATTAGTCCTGGTTGTCAATTTTACAGCCAAACAATTCAGGAGAAATTCTTCAAATGGGAAGTTGTGGGGAGCTATGGCTGGGAACGGGGCACTTGTGGGTCAGCTGGAGGTCAGATGCAGGCAAGAGGCTTCTGCCACCCACCAGCACAGCCAGAGCCAGGATGAAGCCATGAAGTCTTGTCCCTGCTGGTGCTTCTTGTCAGAGACATGGGGGAGTTTAGAACAGGGTATTCTCTACATCAACTCTTATTAAATCAAGGAAAAAAAAAAAAAGGTGGATGAAACTCTTACTGACCTGGGATTCAAAGCCACTGACTTTGGCTCTGACCTTTAACCTTTTTATGGATTAGAATCACTCCTTCTGTGTTAGTATATTTACCATCACTAAAACATTGTGGTTTATGAAATAAATCATGTACAGATGTCTTTGGCCTTGTTATGTTGATACCTGGCACACTGGAACTTTGTTATAATACAGAACATAGAATTTTGCTTACAGTGTATTCATAATGCCTCCTAAACAGTAACCATCCTCAGCCCATGTTTATTCTACCGTGGTTACAATGAGCCTGTAGGGTGCGTGCTGATCTTGACTTCTGTACCTAGAAACTGTGTGTGTGTACAATTGTATATACACACATACATACACGTGTAGGTTTTTTGTTTTTTATTGTCAGTGTTTCTGAAACACTAGTACAGTTTCTTTTGTGGATCTTTAATCAACTTTCCAACTTGAGGATGTTTTTGCATTGCTTTTACGATGCTCTTTCTGAAACACTGTTTGCTTGCTATGAAATTAGTAATAGCCCCTAAGTTTCGTCTAACCTTGCTTTATAATGTTATTTTCTTACGCTGTCCTTTTGAAGTGTGTGTTCCTACCGTGTTCTCAGAATGCCAGTTCTCATCAGCCCCCTCACCCACCCTCCCCCTCTTTTTTAAGCTATGCTGTGTTGTAACGGTATCTGCTTTTTGTTTAACCACATACAGCGGGATTCAGTGACTTTTTGCTTTTTCTTTGCATCTGACAGTTCCTTTAGCTTTTTTTTTTTTTCAGTCATGTAGTTTGCTCTTCAAACCCTCTCCTTTTTCTTAGCAGATGGGTTTTTTTTTTTTTACTGAGTACATACTTCTAGATAGAGCCAGTTCTGTGTGTTTATTTCCTCAATTTACCCATTTCACAATAATCTAAAATTCTAAAACATTCTGGATTGCAAAAAGCATGACATAGTAGAATACCACGTGTAGAATCCGAGAGTGAAAGTTTAAGTCTCAGTGTAACTACCTGTGTGTTCTTGGATAGGTTATTTTACTGAACCTCCATTTTCCCCTAGTAATATTGGGCCTCTCCCCTAAATGATGGTGATAGAGGCCCCCTACATATGGTAAAAGGCTTAATTTACCTGAAGGATTTAACAATTATGAACTCCATAATAATGTACTTACGTGCCTAATAATGTTCTGGAAAATACATAAAAAATGGGCACAAGTATAAAGAAAAATAGATTAATTAACCAATATAATGGACATTTTTAACACCCCTCAATAATTAATCAAGCAGAAAACAACATTTAGGATGTAGAAAATGTAAATAGCTAATAAATTTGATCTGATGGATACACGTGTATATATGACATTATGCCCTTCAGTAAGGAAATAAGCATTTTTTAATGCACATCTAGAATTCTTACAGAATTGCTCTTGTGCTAGGTCATACTGCTACCCTCCAAAAATATTTACTGCATGTAGGCTTACTTGTGCTTGCTTACTAATCGGTAGTGAACAATTTCACATTTTTTCACGCCATCAAAGATTGACTTCTAGATAAGGTTGGCATCTGCCTCTCTCCCAACCCCGCAGCACCTTTCTACAGACTCAGAGCTGCTTTTCACATTGACAGTCCCTGCCACGGACGGATGATCCAGTAAGCCAGGTGAGCATGGCCTTACTTGCGTGTACTTACTGATTTGTGTGAACAGTTTCACATGGTTTTCACCACATCTTTGATGTGAAATTGTTCACTGCTGTGGCATCCTGATCACAATGCAATTGTTAGAAATCAAGAACAAAAAGATAACAAGAAAGACTGATACGTATATAAATTCTAAAATAAAACTACACAATGAGTCAATGAAGAAACCATAATAGAAATTAGAAAATAACAATTTTAATAAAGTACTACAAAACATATAGGATGCAGCTAACATGGTATTTACAGGGAGATTTATAATGAAGCACTTTAATTAGAAAAGAAGGATTTAATGAGATAATCATGGACAGCAGAAATAAATGAAATGGAATATAAGAGAAAGGACCAATCAACCCAAGAGTTGTGTTTTCCAGGAGCCTCCTGAGGTGGGAGGAGCCACGTGAAAGGCTGAGGAGGGAGGGAGTCTCCCAGTGCTGCTGCTTTGGCTGGGACCTGTGGACCAGTTACCAGGCTTCCCCTCACTCATCTCACTCTGAATTGCCTAGCCACTTCCCACTGAGGCAATTTCTGCAAGGATGACTTAAGAGCGTGCTTTGTAGCGCCCAGGAGGAGGGAGTGCAGAGGCTAAGGTGGTTTCTTGGACCTTAGAGGTGTCTCCCGACCTCTTCCCTAGGCAGAGCGCTGGTTGGGGCAGAAGTGCTGTGTCTGCCAAGCAAGCGGCGGCCCAGGGCCCATTCCTAGTAGGACAGTATGGCTGCATCTGTAGCAAGAGCAGTTACTGGACCACCATAAAACCCCCTCCCTGTGTGTGTCTGCCTTTCGGGCTCCTTGTTAGTAAGAGTGGAAGATATCCTATGGAAAAGACGTAGTTGGGTGTGAGTTTGTGTTTCAGGGACGGGGCTGAAGCCCACAGCTATAAGGATCCATACAAGCTTGTAGGTTGGCATTTCTAGAGGCAGCTCCTGTTGTCCTGACTGCTTGCTGGAGGATCTACAGTGCAGATTACAGGGCCTGTCGGCAAATGGCCCTGCCCAAACCAGTTGCCAGTGAGTCGACTCTTGACTCGTGGCAACTCCATGTTTGGAACTGTGCTCATAGGGTTTTTAATGGCTGATTTTGTGGAACTAGATCACCACACCAGTCCTGTCTTCTGAGGTGCCGCTGGGTGGATCTGAACCTCCACTTTTCAGTTAGCAGTGGAGTGTGTTAACCATTTGCACCCCCCAGGGACTCCAAATGGGCCTGCACATCCGGTTTATTCCCAATGGCTCCACTCATTGCTTTCTCATTTCGGAGGGGCTGGGATGGACAAGTCTGAGTCTCTTTCTGGAAAAGGTTTCTCTCCATGTGATTGCTATCTTGTTTCCTAACCTCCTAGACCAATACTCCATAACCCTGTGGGGGCTAGCCACTCATGCAGCACCTGTCAGTCGGTATGAAGTCACATAGAGTTTTTGGAAAGTGAGATTTTGGATAGAGTTTTTCAGCCAAGTGGTTCTTTGCACATAACTCTGACTCCATGTACCTAAGAAAACCTCTC